AAATGAATCTGGGCCGAAAATATTCGAATCTGGTGCTAACGTTACCTACGTTTCAAAATTGGTATTGATTTTCAAGAAAAATCGATTTCGAATGTCAAGAATCTTGGAAACTATTGATGGAAAATCGATCGATTTTCTGCAATATTAGAAAATCAAACTCGAATGTTCAGTATTTATAAAATCGACGCTGAATTCGATGTTTCACGCTGAATTCGATGCTCGAACTACAACAAAATTCTAAAAACTGAATGTTCTATTAGTATTTTTATCTTGATCTCGATTTGGTTCTTTTCATATATAAATACATAACGAAAGCATGTTTCGAGCTCGCGGTTGCGTGGTTTGGTAGTTCACACTATCTACTATTTATGGTAAAATCTCGAAGATTAGGTATTCTGTTGTTACTGAATTACAAGAGTTTAAAATTGACAAATTTGTTGGATGGTTTTGTAGACGTTTTCCTACCATTTACTAGGCGTTTGTCGACCGTTTACTGGCCGCTTCTTTTTCGTTTGGAGAACATTAACGAATGGTTTCCTTTGACTTGGGCTACTATCTTAAAAAAAGTAAAAAGTTTTTCTCTGACTTATCTGTCGAATGTACCCTTTCTCACTAATCGACCTAATCCAGCCATTACACTATACACATCATCTAACAACACTATAATTTTATTTGCTGACTGGAAAATATCGAGATTCGAACATCAGAACTTGTGTTTGTCAGTCTGTCACTGTAACTATATGGCCATATCGGACCGAAAACTAACATTATCAAAGTGCTATTCAAGCTTGCAAGCTTACGTACTACGCTACATCCACTCTATTTTACTGCATCTACATAGTGTGAAATATGCTGGAGGAAAATCCAATAACACACACATATTAGGTTCTACAAACCGTTAACGGCTAGTTAAAGAATCGTTTTTAGTACTTTCTGCTAGAGAAACTTTAGAGTGATTTTTGAATGTTTCATCATACACACATATTAGGTGCTTCAAATTGTAAACAGGTCGTTAACGGTCAGTTAATGGACTGTTTTTAGGTCCAAATGAAAAGCAGGAATTATTTTCGAAAAGTAAGGAAATCATTCTCATTCTCCAGCTGTCTCTGCTTTATGAAACTGCTATGAGTTTTATAAAATCCCGGTAAGAGGCACTCTCTGCCTTTGAAATGAAATTTTAGGGTTGTTTTTGAAAGATTCCTAAAGAACCTACTTGGCAAAAGTCTTCTCGTTATGACGATGCTTCAGAGTCTCATCTATCGCCTAACGAAAATCGCAGCTCTTAACCTCTGAGTTATTCAAAACATGACCTAACGCACGAGGTCATTGATAAACGGTATATTTAGAATAATATTTACAAATGGAACGAAGATCAGGATACATAGTCATACACGTCAACATTTTCCAGACAGAGTTGCATTTTATACGCATCTTCGCCCGAAGAATACTAGGCTTTGAGGCGTTCAGTTACTGTAAAGCCAAATGATTTGTAGAATAAGTACGCTTTCTCGTTTGATGCATGCACTTCTAACGATATGAATTTTACATTAGATAAACGTGCTTCGTTGATAAGATAACCGAGCATCATTCGTCGGAAGCCTTGTTGCTGTCGTTCTGGTCTGATACATCCAGGTCGACTCTCACGGCAAAAAGTCATGGCATGAATGCGTAACGCGATCGCTATTGGACACACGAAAAGCGCCCCGATTTTCGCGATCACTATAAACTCACGATAAAAAGGGATCTTTCCAATCCACGTGACTCCCATATTTTTCCCAATATTTGGGTGTGAGTCCTTAATCTCGCGATGTGAATCACGAAGTCCCGTTTTTTGTCAAAACTTCAGCGCGACTAGCTGTTGTCGCGTCATGGCTCTCGGTATCGCGACGTGACTATGCAGGGAGTCACGATTTTTCTTCAGCAAGACTCCTATCGCAACTTTTACTTACTCGTGTTTGTTTTTTCCTCCTACTCCTTGCAGTGCTTGTTCGATTTTGAGTTTTCCTGTCTGAACAAGGCTTGTATATAGGGTTTTTATTTATTTTTCAGGTTTTCTGAATGAAAACAATTTTTTTAGGGATTGTTTTTAAAGGTTTCTCTTTTCTCAAACTCATATTTCAGTTGCTCAACTCGGGTTCGACACAGAAACCGTATGTGAAGAACACATTTACGCTAGGATTTTCATCTGGAGTCCCAAGAGAGCTGACACTAAGTCCTGCTCCTACTCTGCTGCTGCTGCTTTGAATTATAGCCCGTAGGATACTCTATGCACTTAGGTGAGCTTTTTCATGTTCCATTAAGGTGGAAAATTAGGTTGAAAATTGGTTGTATTCGAAAAAATGACGGTGTAGAGGCGTCACTAAATAACGTCGACTGCCCTTTTATCTTTGGTCGTAGGGAATGGCGAAAATAGAACAGGAACAAATATTATTTATTATATTTTTTCTTTCAAAAAAACTTGTGTGCTTCTTAGTTTCATTAAAGATGATTCGACTGTTTTAGGAAAGAAAAAGTTATTTTGGGCTCTCTTGGATATTCTTTTTTGCTTGATAGTGTAACTAGAGATAGGCCGTAATACGTAAGCCTCGAAAAAATGGGATGAAAGAATATTCGTTATTCGTGTTTCGGTATAGAGTACAAGTTGTGTACTACAAACTCCCGGAAAAGCTGAGGAAGGGTGCCGTCAAATTTGTTAACTTTTTAATCCGGGAAATTGCCAGAATAAACACTAATTTCATAGTAAAGGGAATCTCTCTTTTTGATAAAACGATAAAATTTGTTCTTTCTCCATTTCTTGCTTTATATCTCTCTCTATAGTGTGTATAGAAAGAAAAAAACATCAAGTCAAGCATAGGCGTAACTACGGGGGAGGCCAGTGGGCGATGGCCCAACACGATCTGAGCATTGGCCCAATACCAAATTGTTTTTGAGTGTTCTGCCCAAAGCTTTTCCTTCACCTACCAATCCTGAATAAAGTTTGTGACATGAAAGCGAAATAATGTGCTGCCAATCCAAGGATATAGCCTGATTTTTTGTTTCACTTCTTTTTGGCATCGTTGGATAGAGCTCACCGACTTAGATAGAAAAAAGCCAATTTTTTCCTTTTTTTAAGATTTTTCAACGTCAGTTTTGCAAGAAAAAATTGACTTTTTGAACTGCAGGAAAAAACAGTGAAATTTTAATGTTTGATAGCGTTTCGAAATTTCAAAACCGCGTTTTTCTTATTTTCCACCAAAAACTGAGTCTGGAAAGCTAATTCCGGTAACTTTAGAAGCTAAAATGGACTCAGAATCTGCGGAGTACGAGCAGAATGGTAAAGGGGATGCAGGTCAATTCTACGAACCTATCTAGTCCTACGATTTTCGAGATAAAATTCTTTCTTTTACTTCATTCTGATCGCGATACGTGTAGAAAAAAGGTTAAGCATCCTTTTTGGAAAATTTTGTTTTGTTCCCGAGAAATCAGTGAAAAAATAATAAAATTTGGCGCGTATTTTGCCGTTTCCTCCATTAAAAATCAACTTTTCGACAAAAGAAAAGGCTATTTGGGGGATCAGTGTTAAAACCAAAGTTGAAAACTGTGTTTCGGGTATTTTCGGGAATTTTAGATTTTTAGTGAAAATCCCGCGTTTTATTTTTAAGTTTTGAGAAAATCGAGAAAAATCGAAACAATACGGACTACTTCAAAGATCCCGAAACACATATTTTCCAACTCAGTTTGTAACGCTGGTTCTGAAGCTGGCCTTTTTTGTGTCGAAAGGTTGATTTCTAATAGAGAAAACGGCAAAATACGAGCACAATGTCATTACTTTTCCAGTGATTTCGAAAAAATAGAATTTCTCGGCAACAAAACAAAATTTTCCAAAAAAGATAATACTTACAAACAGTACCGATAACTGTTGCCCCATAATATGTGGACAGTGTACTAGTATAATGTGTTGAATAGCTTGTTCCACAATAATCTTGATTTGGTAAACGATTATATAGCTGAGTGACCGTAAAATTGACTGACAGCCCCTTTGCCATTCTGCTCGTACTCCGCAGATTCTGAGTCCATTTTAGCTTCTAAAGTTACCGGAATTAGCTTTCCAGACTCAGTTTTTGGTGGAAAATAAGAAAAACGCGGTTTTGAAATTTCGAAACGCTATC